AAAAAAAAAAAAAAGGAATGCAAATCCATACAGCCATTATGGAAAATATGGAAATTCCTTAAAAAAAAAAAAAAACTGCCTGGCACCTGTGGCTCACGCCTGTAATCCAACTACTCAGGAGGCTGAGATCTGAGGATCACCGTTCAAAGCCAGCCTGGGCAGGAAAGTCAGTGAGACTCCTTTTTTGCTGTTGTTGTTGGTTGTGGGTCTTGAACTCTGGGCCTGAACGCTGTCCCTCAGCTCTTCAGCTCAAGGCGAGTGCTCTACCAACTTGAGCTACAGCGCCACTTATGGCTTTCTGGTGGTTTATTGGAGATAAGAGTCTCTTGGACTTTCCTGCCTGGGCTGGCTTTGAACCGCGATTCTCAGATCTCAGTCTCCTGAGTAGCTAGGATTACAGGTGAGAGCCACTGGCGACCGACCGTGAGACTTTTATCTTCAATAAGCCACCAGAAAACTGGATGTGGTGCTGTGACTCAAGTGGTAGAACGCTTGCTTTGAACTGAAGAGCTGAGGGACAGGCCCAGAATTCAAGCCCCATAACCTACCTAAACAATAACAACAACAACAAAAACTGAAAACAGAACTGTATTATGATCTAGCTATCTATTGGCTATATATCCAAAGGATGCAAAATCTAAGACAGCTGCATTCCTATGGTTTGTGCTTGTTGTTGTTATTATTATTTTATTTATTTATTTTTGGTCCGGTCGTGGGGCCTGAACTCTGGGCCTGGGCACTACTGTCCCTCAGCTCTTCAGCTCAAGGCTAGCACTCTACCACTTGAGCCACAGCACCACTTCCAGCTTTTTTCTTTTTGCTTATATGGTGCTGAGGAAGTGAACCCAGGGCCTCAAGCATGCAAGGCAACGTTCTACCACTGAGCCACCTTCCCAGCCCCTGGCTTCAAACTTTCTATTCAGCCCAGGCTAGTGTCACACTCAAGATCCTCCTGCCTCAGCCTCCCAGGTGCTGAGGTTGCAGGTGTGAACTACTCTATCTGGCTTCCCATGTCTCTTTCACTTTTGTTCACAAGAGCTAAGGTAAGGAAGGATTTAACCAAGAAGTCCATCAATTAATGAACAGACAAGGAAAATATAGTATACCCCAGGATATTGGGGCACACTCATAATCTTAGCTACTTAGGAGGGTGAAATTGGGAGAATCATGGTTTTTGGCCAGCCCAGGCAAAAAGTTCAACCAATAGGTGAGTATGATGGTATTTCTTTGTCATCCCAGCTACGTAGGAGACTGAAATTGGGAGGATCTTAGTTACAGGCCAGCCTGAGGGGGAGAGAGAGGAGTCTACAATCTAGAAGCTGGTGTTTTATGCCTATAATCCTAGCTACTCTGGAGGCTGAGATCTGAGGATCCTGGTTACAGGCCAGCATTGGCAGTAAGGTACATGAGACTTACCTCCAATTATCCAGCCAAAAGTCAAAAGTAAAGTTATAGCTCAAATGTTAGAATTTCAGCCTTGAATGAAAATTTTAAAGGATAGGGTCCAAGCACTGAGTTCAAGCCCCAATACTGGTGCACATGCAGGCATGCACACACACAAAGCAACCCCCTCATTTGCTTAAAACCATCATGCTTCTTTACTTTTAACAACCTTATCCCTCATTTCTATTTTACTCAGAGCTTCTTCCTAAAACCTCCCCACACTTGTTTTCCCCCCCTGTGGCTATACCCAAGCTAGTTTGTAAGCTCACTGAAGATAGAATAAACATTATAGTATAATTGGGGTTCCTCCAAAGTTCCCAGAATAGTGTCATACACACAACTAGTGATCAAGAAACACTTACCAAACAAGTCATATGTATACACACACAAACATTCCCAAGGAAAAATTAATCTCTGGGAAGTTGACAGGTACAGCTAGTAAGGGAAGCATGAAGATAAACAGCTTCAAGAATTAGATCTAGTACAAAGGCTAGAGATGTGTGTATACACACACATATAATTTTTTTTTTTTTGGGTCCGGTCGTGGGGCCTGAACTCTGGACCTGGGCACTGTCCCTCAGCTCTTCAGTTCAAGGCTAGTGCTCTACCACTTGAGCCACAGCGCCACTTTCGGCTTTTTTTTTCTTATGTGGTGCTGAGGAATCAAACCCAGGGCCTCGAGCATGCAAGGCAAGTGCTCTACCACTGAGCCACCTTCCCAGCCCCACACACATATAATTTAAATATATAAATAAAAGCAAATGACATACATTAGAAACAGCCACATGTGACATGTATGTATTTTGGTCTGAAGGGATTGCCAGGACCAACAATGCCTCTTCATTTTTTGGCTTTTCTGTTTCTGGATTTCACAGAAATGGGCTTTCTTTCCAGTGGGGTCTACAGGTTTTCTGTGTGTGTATGTGTGTTGGTAATGGGGCTTGAATTCATGGCCCAGGTGCTATCCCTGAGCTTTTGTGTTCAAGGATAGTGCTCTACCACTTAAGCTACAGCTCCACTTCGGGCTTCTGTGTGGCTAATTGGAGATAAAAGTTTCACAGACTTCTCTGCCTGGATTGGCTTCAAAGCACAATCCTTGATCTCAGTCTCCTGAATAACTAGGATGACAGTCCTAAGCCACTGGTGCTTAATCAAGGGGTCTTCAGTTTTTTAAAAAGGGCTGTTAGTTTTAAGTACCAGCATTACTTATTTCCTGATCCAGCACTTAATAACAGATTTTTTTAAAAAAAGGAAACTCACATCAGAACACAGAGATGATTGACTTGGTTATCATATTGGCTTATATTTTCTTTTGCCATCTAAGGGACAGTTTGCTGCATTATCCACTCATGCCTTAAGTGCCAAGATAAGATATTTGCCATGGAGTTATTTTGGGAAATATCCAGTGCCTTTTGGAGAGCAATGCAATGCCAGGATGTTGTTTGGGCTTCACTTGACCTTAAAAACTGTCAAGGGCAGATGTAGTTGTAGAAGATTTCCACTGATCACTTTTCCTCTCTGCAGCAGCCTGGCTGACTACCTCCCCCATCCTAAGGCTGCATCTTTGTAGGATTTGCTGAAACCACAACTGCACTTTGGGTCATCCATTGCTGCTTTAACAATAACAAAGCCAAAAGCCTTTTTATTATTTCTAAAACACATTCCCTTAAAAATAAACAATAATAGGATTATGCACCTTTCAGATATTTTAACCGGCTCTGACTTTGGCAAGCTAACTCAAAAGAAAAAAACAAACAAAACAGAACTCAATATGAGCTAAATTTAGTTTTAAATATATTTCCTGCTAAAGACCCCTCTTAGGTTTTGAATAAAATTCAATTATGTGTATTTGTGCCTTGTTCTGAAATTTTTTTAATATTTCATCACCCCAAGAATAACCAGGATATTCTTACCTCCAGGCTTTTCTTTCCTTATTAACTCAGCATTTTTCCCTCCCTTCGAGGTACGTCTTCTCTATCTCAGAGCTTATTGGAAGGAAAAGCTAACCTGACCACCCAAGGTGGACCCCTTCTTTGGGAACAGCAGCGAGATAAAAATGTGAAGCCACTGTGTGACTGCATTGCGGTGTGCTCGGAATGAGTAATAGCTTTTCATTCTGTATAACATCATTCTCCACCTCCCAAACTCGGGCCGGTGCCACCTCTGCCTCGCGGTGAGCCGGTATTACGACACATCCCGATCAGTTCTGAACGCACCTAGGGCCTAGTCTCCCACGGGGTTTTCACTTTCACAGGCAAGGGGGCACACGCATCCGACAAAAGTAAAGAGCCTTTCCAGCTAATGGAAGCACAAAGAAACTTCCATTGTTAAAATACGAATTATGCCAACAAGAAAACATTCACATCGCGATCTATGAAAAGAATTCTACCCGCAGCGCCTGGCTTTCGGTCGCAGTGGTGCGCGGTTTTTTGGCGCGTAGCCACGCCCCTTACGTCAGGTTTCATTCCCCCACCCACACCCCCTGGGGCGCGCCCCACCCCGGCCGCCAGAGACCGGCCTTGCCCCTCCCTCCCCACAGAAGCGCAGGGACAGTTCTTGCGTCTGCGCAGTGCGTTATTGCGCGCCCCCGCGGCCTCCGCCCGCCCCTGCCGCGCGCCCGAAGACTCCTTGTGCGCATGCGCACTCGTGCTCCGTCCCAGTCGCCGTGCTCGGCTCAGTCAGTCAGTCTGCGGGAGTCTGTCCTCGGAGTAGGCACTTGAAGGCGCTACGGAAAGCCAGCGACCCGATTATTCTATCTTCCCTCCCTCTCTCCCGCCCCACATCTCTCTTCACCCTTCTCCCGCTTTTGCTCGAGCAGCCATGGCGGACTCGTCGGCGGCCACTCAATCCCCGTCAGTCTCCTCGTCGTCCTCCGGGGCCGAGCCGTCCGCGCCCGGCGGCGGCAGCGGGAGCTCGGGAACCTGCCCCACCCTAGGGACCAAGAGCTGCGGCTCCTTCTGTGCGGGTGAGGCGCGTGGGGATCCCCTCCCCCTTTCACCGCGGTGGGAGGGTGAGCGGGTCGGTGGGCCCGGGGTCTGGGCGGGCCGGGGGGGGCAGCGAATTCCCCCGGCCGGCCGGGTGGCTTCAGCCCCGGGGCGGGGGGCGGGGAGCGGGAAACCGACGTTAGGGAAAAAGTGGGGGTGGGGAAGCTCAAGGTCTTGGAGGCGGTGAGGAAATAACGGGGTGTTAACAAAACAGGTTGGGGGCGGGGAGGTAATGTAGAGAGTGGGCGTTGACGCCGAGCCCCGGCAGGTGGGGGAACAGCCGCTCGGGGGGAAGAGCCGGGTGACATGGAGAATTTGCTCGACGCCTGGAGACGGGATCGTGTTCGGGGGAGGCTCAGGAGCCCTCGGTGGAGCTGGGGTGATTTAGTAGTGGAGGATTAGCGAGGTTGAGAGGATTGTGACAGGTGGGTCGTGGTGGGGGAGAGAGAGAGAAAAAAATGACTCGTTACAATTTGGGGGGGATTGGTGGTGAAAGGGTTGCATTGCGGGTTTGCAAACAGGTATTGACATAACTAGACAGGCCTGATGATCCTCCAAAAAAATGTTTTTTTGTTTGCCTGTGGGGAGGATGAGGAAGTTTAATGGAAGCCTATTTCTTTACTATTTTCGGCTAGACTCGGCTTGGGTTTGGGGTGGTTTTTTTGCGGGGGGGGGGAGCGGGTAAGGTTTTGAGGTAGAGGACGCGTGATGAGAATAGCTCAGGAAGGTTTGGGAGGGAGCTGCTGATGGTCCAAGATGGATCCTTGGCTGTATCTGCACTACAGCCGGCTCTTCCTTGGCGCAGCGTGGGGGCTGGGGACACGCATTGCTTATATTCTAGAAGATAATAAAGAGAATCATGCCAAGCCATCCACATGTTTTGATTTCATATTTTCTATGTGCTGGTATTGATATATAACAAAAGAGGGTGTTTACTGCAGAAGTGGGGTGGGGGTGGGAGGGGGAAAGGGGAGAAAAATTCAGACAAAGCCAAAGGCTGGTTGAGCCCCTTTCTTCGATTTCTGAAAAGCTAGGGGGGAAGCTTGGGCCTCCTTTAGTTTCTATTGTATATGCGTCTGCCTGCTGGTGGGAGCTGACTGGCAAGCTCCTTGTGCAGAGCTGCAGTGCAGATGCCTTCTGGAGGAAAAGTATGCACCCCTGGCAGGTGGTGGTTCTTAAAGGAACTGAGCCTTTGAAGGAAAAAAAAAAGGATTTGTCAAAGGAGGGATTTTTAGAGGTTTAAAAATATTTCATTGTCTCCTTTGGCAGAGTCTTGGGTTGATCATTGTAAAGAACATAATATTCCTGATCCTACCCTTCAATATATTCTCTACATTTTTGCTTTTCATTTTTTCCAAACAATGGATTGCCACCTGTCTAAGAGCTTCAGTACTCTATTGGATTTTCCAGGGTGGTCATGGCCATTTGTGTAGACGTAGTATTAGAGGAAGCTTCTGCAGATGAAGGAATGAGGCAGCAGATTTAGAACCTTCACTCCCTTTAAATCACCAGCATTTCTCCTCCAGATTTTTATATTCTGGACTAAAATCCAACTGAACAGCAGCATCCCTATAACATAATAACTTGGCTTTAATAGTTTACTGTCTTTTTAGCCTTTTTATGTGTCCCTTTTGCTCTTTTTTGGGGGAGAGGGAGGTTGGTAGTCAGGCTTGAACTCAGGGCCTTGGCACTGTCCCTGCTCTCTTTTGCTTAAGGCCAGCACTCTGCCACTTTGAGCCACAGCACCACTTCTTGTTCTTGAGTGGTTAATTGGAGATAAGAGGGACTTTTCTGCCAGAGCTGGCTTCGAACCACAATCCTCAGATCTCAGCCTCCTGAGTAGCTAGGTAGGATCATATGCATGAACCACCTGTGCCCAGCTCCTGTTGCTTATTTTTGTTTTTCAATTTTGATTCAGACCTAAGTTTTAGGAATTGGTCTTTTGTGCTCTATCTATGACAGATGTTAAATATTGAGGAGTCTTTCTAGTTAGTAAGCAGCCATTTAAGATTTAGTCCTTGCCAAATGGTGAAATCATTTGACAATTAATTTTTAACATTTTACTTATTTTTTTATTTTGTCTTGGTTTTTTTGAGACAATCTCAGTATTTAGCCCAAGTGTTATTAAATTCTCAGGCCCTTCTTTTTTTTTTTTTTGGGTCCGGTCATGGGGCCTGAACTCTGGGCCTGGGCGCTGTCCCTCAGCTCTTCAGCTCAAAGCCAGCGCTCTACCACTGGAGCCACAGCACCACTTCCGGCTTTTTCTGTTTATGTGGTGCTGAGGAATTGAATCCAGGGCCTCATGCTTGCAAGGCATGCACTCTACCGCTGAGCTACCTTCCCAGCCCCATCTCAGGCCCTTCTTTAGTCTTGAATGGTATAGGTATTTGCTACCACACCCAGAGAAAATCAGCTTGTTTATTCCTTTAATGCACTGTTATGAAAGAATTGGCTTTGTATGGGCTGGGCAGGTGGCTCAGTGGTAGAGCACTTGCCTTGCATGCATAGGCCCTGGGTTCGATTCCTCAGCACCACATAAGCAAAAAGAAAAAAGCCAGAAGTGGTGCTGTGGCTCAAGTGGTAGAGCGCTAGCCTTGAGCT